CAAGATCATGTTAAATTACCGTATTCAACGACAACGAATGGCGGGTACAGGATTGTGACGGTATCTACACTGTTAAACTATTTGATGTTGATTGCACTTGCACATGTAACATACCACAACTTCAAAAAATACCCTGTGCACATGTGCTTGCAGCTTCTTCTAATCAGCCGGGAGATGCTAGAATTCCCAGAAATCGGTATTACTCGCCTTGGTATTCAACAGCTCACTATCAAAAGACATATAGTGAGAGTTTTCATCCACCTGATGATAGTCGGTATTGGCCTGAATATAATGGACCACGTATAATTCCACTTCAGTACCGGAGACAAGCAGGTCGACCACGATCTGTGCGAATTAGGGGAACCATGGATCAAGGGCGAGAAGGAGTGGTCAAGCATAAAAATGTAGTTTTTGCAAACAACCGGGACATACTCGACCTCGTTGTCCATCTAGACACAATAGATAGCAACTAATTGGTAATTTATATCATTCTTTTATTTTTATATACTTTAATAAAGAAACTGAATTACTATATGATTGATTATTGACATGTGTATAATTGTATGTGCAGGTTTGTACACCATGGATCATGGGCTGGTTAGTGATGAGGTCTTATATGACCAAGCTCAGCATCGTTCACATATTATATCTTGTACAGAGGTAATTCAGTTACTTTATAATTGCAATATTTGCATTTACATAATATTGTATTCTTATACTATCATTTGCTGTACAGAGAGGAGGGAGTATCGTTATGGTTGATCATAGCCTCAGTCATAGCCGTTGGCAGTTAGAGGATGAGCGTATCATATTAGCTGTGGCACGGGCTGGCTTCTTGGCTTGTTCAAAGCTTCGTTGGATAAAGCTCGATTGGCCCCTACTGGCCGCGTTGATGGATAGATGGAGACCTGAGACCAATACTTTCCACTTTCGGATGGGCGAGGCTACCATTACTCTACAAGATGTAGCCGTGATACTCGGTCTCCGTATAGATGGTTCGTGCATTACCGGCACTGATAGTGTTGTATGTCAGACAAGATGTGAGCAGTTGTTAGGTGTAGCTCCACAGTCAATGCCTCGAGGAAATATTAAGTTAAAGTGGTTGAGAGAGACCTTCTCAGTACCGTTGCCTGTTGATGCCCCACAAATTTTGGTTGACCAACGTGCACGTGCATACATTATGCACATGATTGGTACTATATTATTTCCAGATTCAAGTAAAGATAAAGTGCATGCGAGGTATGTGTATTTATAATATGAATCTGTATTTCATTGAATTAGCTTATTTTGATAAATTGGAATATTGTGAATATGCTAGGTGGTTACCCCCTCCTCGAGGACTTGGACGCATGTAGTACAAAATCGTGGGGTAGTGCCGTTTTAGCATACTTATATAGAGATGTCAAAAGTGGCACTTATGCAAAACAGTGAGCTTAAAGGGTGTCTAAGCTTATTGCAAGTATGGGCATGGGAGAGACTTCATTTGAAGCCGAGACTATGCACGCATTTACAATTAGATGGACAAATTCTATTGGGATGCAGATATTGTATTTTTTATGTAGCGAATATAATTGTAGTTATCATTGTGGTACTAAATGTATGACAAACATTTTTTTGTAGATGGAATGTCGAAAAATGCTATGACGAGACCCCGGCTAGACAATTGGATTTCTACCGGAATGAGCTTGACCGTATGAAGATTTTTCAGGTAATTCTCACCGAAAAACATGCACTTTTTCTTCTACATACTGAAAACCCAATTCTGATATGCAACTGTATTAAATTATTGTAGATGGAATGAGAGCCCTACACCTAATTTCTACCTCAGCTACCCCCAATATGCACAGAATACCAAGTTGTATGGAGAGCTAGAGTTCCTCTTATATGTTTGGAGATAGTAGAAATGCATGTACCGGACCACGTGCTTCGACAATTTGGTCGTGCACAACATGTTCCGCAGTTTGTTGAAAAGATAGAGAGGAAGGCAAAGAAAGGAGGCCAACAAATAAACTGGATGATCGTGCATCAAGCTTTTATACACAGATGGAATGATAGGTATTTTTGTATTGTCAACCAAATTGAACCAACTCCTCGGGAATCAGATTACTGCACTTGGTATTGGGGCATAACCCGAAGATGGATACTTCATTCGACCACAATACCGCTTGAGTCGCAAAGAGGATATGTGCCCCGGGGTATAATGAGAGAGAATTAGTAAGTATTTTCATATTTTGATTTAAGTCCATTTTTATTGGTACTTTATGTGTTGAAAAATTTGCAGGTATCAGCAATAGATGACGTTCAAACTCTTGCAAATCGTGGCTTGGAATTGGCTCGAGCAGGTATGATAAAATTAAATCTCAAATTTACATTCTGTAATATCAAATTTAATATGAAATTTTGTTTTTGAACTATCTATCGCAGATAGAAATCCCGAAGCACATGAACATGTATCAATATATCAGGCTATAATGCAGAGGCTTCAACAAGCCTTATACCGAACTCACGAAGATCGTCATGATGGACGGGAGGTAACGCCATTCGTATATACACGACAACAGCGACAAAGTCGAGGACGACGCAAAAATGACGATGAAGCTGGACCTTCCCAACGTGTCGACGATGGAGCTGGACCGTCACAACCACAAACGCAACCGGATCACGAACTCGTCGAAAGGCGGTATGGAGGACGACGAAGCCAAAGGAGGAGGAGGAGAGTTCTTGGATGTATGTAAACTACAGGTTATATACATTACAAAACTATTTAGGGATGTGATTTTTGGATTTGTAGTCGATAATATCGTGTGATATGTTTGATTTCTAAGTGGGTTTGTGGTGTTATTATGTTGGATTTGTTAGTGGGAGTTTGTGGTGAGATGTGATTTGTTTGATTTGAAATGAGTATGTGGTGAAATCAGTATGTAATAAGTTGAAGTGGGAGTTTGTGTGGATGTATGCACAGGGACTACATGAAATGCAGTGGTGAAATGAGTATGTGACTTGTTAGAGGAAGTTTGTGTTGATGTATGCACAGGAACTACTTGAAATACAGACAAAAAGCGCACAAAAATACGCACAACAAGTGCACGGGACTGCTAGTCTCGTGCACTTGGTGTTCGCTCTCTCTGCTTAAAAGTCGGGACTAGCAGTCCCGACATTTAAGCAGAGAGAGCAGTTGCTGGAACACCAAGTGTACGGGACTGCTAATCCCGTGCACTTGGTGTTCAGCAGCGGCTACCCTCTCTGCTTAAAAGTCGGGACTAGCAGCCCCGACTTTTAAGCAGAGAGGGCAGCCGTTGCGGAACACCAAGTGCACGAGACTAACAGTCCCGTGCACTTCGTAAAAGACCCTCCGCTGCAAAACCGATCCTTTTCTTCTGAAAACGGTCGGTCTTGCTAATATTTTTCAGTTTAGGTCGATTTTGCCTATTAAATTTTAAAAATGATTGGTTTTAAAAATTTCTCCTTTAAAATTTTTGATGCAGTCGGAACAACATGGGGTTCCAACTACAATAAACCAAACATATACCCCATAATTTCTACACTATTTCTACACTATGCTGAGGTGGTGCTGGTATGTCATTGTTGACTGTACCTTATTAATTATCTGTTATATTTGGAAACTAACAAATCTGCCAAAATTTAAATTTTCTAAAAGAGCTTTTTTATATTCTTCTTCTTCTTCATACATTCTTATTTTGGAAAATAAGAATGTATTTTCTAAAAGAGCTTTTTCCTTTCCGAAATCTTTTTCGTTTTCGATCCTTTTTCGTTAAGGGGCTGTTTGGTTCGCTATTATAAGGGGTGGAAAACTCAGAAATCCCCTCCACGTCAGATTTTTAGCCCTCCACGTCAGATTTTTTGTTTCCGTCTATTTCTTTGTGCCGATTTGGTTCGCTCGGATGGAAGAGGGAAAACTCTGCTGAAATCGCCGGCAGCTCAGATTTTTTTCCCTCTCCGATTTCCTTCCCCAACCGAGTGAAATTGATGAAAACTCTGCCATGTCAGATTTTTTCCTTCTTTGCTTTGTTTACAAAAGTTTTCCTTTTTTTTCTATGCGAACCAAACACAAGAAAAATAAATACATTGGTTTCTCACCAATTTTTATGTGCGAACCAAAACAAAACAATCTATTTCTTGGAAAAGTTTGAAAAACTCAAAACTTATATTTCTTTACATGGAATTGCATTTCCCTATATCAAGGAAACGAACCAAACAGCCCCTAAGCGGCAAAAAAGGAGAGAAGAAGCTACAATGAACAATGTTGCCCTACTATAGGTTTTAATTAAGAGGTGATGTTCTCATTTTTACTCAAAAAACAAAGAGATCTCCTCGCAACAAAAACAATTGCAAGAATACATATCTTGTTCACGAAACCGATGAATTTTTTAAAAAAATGAAAATTTTGGCAATTTTTATATCCAAATAGTAAAAGACATTTAATATGGTACACCTTAGCAGCGCCATCTCAGAGTAGCGTAAAACTAGTGTAGAAATTATAGCTCAGTTATCATTTTCCAATTTGAGTACGTGGCCTGTACTGTGGAAAACCTCCACGGGATTAATTTAGTTTAGATTTAAATTTTAACTGAAAAATATCATAATTTGTAAAATTCTAACTGAAATATATCGAAGCCGCCATTTTTTCCTCCTTTCCGTTTTTTTCCTCTCTCTCTCTCTCTCTCTCTCTCTCTCTCTCTCTCTTTAGTTACTAAGTATTGAAAGAATATCAGCAATGAGTAGATTTAGGATATATAATAAAAAGATCAAATTTGGTAGTTTGCAACATTCTTTAAATGACCGAATCAGATCCATGAATCTATTCAGATAATTAATTATTTGGATAAGGATAAAAAAAATAAGATATTATGACACCGTTTCAGGAGAAAATCTTGCGATTAGTTAGGATTAGTTTCTGGGAGATAATAATATTTTCCTCTTTCAGAATGCCTATAAATAGCGAGCTGAAGCCTTCACAGTTTTCTCAAGAGAGAGTGAGCCATGGCATTCTCAAAATCTGTCTTCTTAACTCTAGCAATATTTTTAGCTTGTTTTTCTTTACGCTCATCAAATGCTGCTGATGTTTCTCACGATGGACGGGCGATAAAGATCGACGGCCAGAGAAGGATTTTGATCTCTGGCTCTATTCATTATCCTCGGAGCACACCTCAGGTTTTTTTTTTTCATTTTCTTTTAAATGGATTTATTTTATTTTTTTTTCTTTTTTGCTTTTGTGGGTGAAATAATAACTAATTAGTGCATGTATTTGTTTGTTATTTCGTGCAGATGTGGCCTGAGTTGATAGCAAAGGCAAAAGAAGGCGGGCTTGATGCTATAGAGACCTATGTGTTTTGGAATGCTCACGAGCCTCAACGTCGCCAGGTTTCTAATTTATCTTTTTTTTATGATTATCAAATATCAGCTAATGCTGATATTGTTTTTTTTTTGTTTCTCCCCTCAGTATAATTTCGAGGGAAGCCTGAACATCATCAGATTTCTTAAGGAAATCAAGAGTGCAGGTCTATATGCTGTTCTACGTATCGGTCCTTACGTCTGCGCGGAGTGGAATCATGGGTAACTTCAAAATTATGGAAATTAATGCACAAGCATTTTAGTTTATACGAATAAGGTTCGTTTACCTATTTTTATTTCTACATTCAGTGGACTTCCAGCATGGTTACAAAAGACTCCTGGGATGCAGTTTAGGACAGATAACCAGCCTTTCAAGGTGTTTTTTTTTAAAATAAAAATAAAAATTTCCTTTATTTTTTAAAAAAAAATTATTTATCGACGGAATGTTCTACTGAGCGTAATTCATTTTATTCTGCAGAATGAAATGCAAATCTTTGTTACTAAAATTGTAAACATGGTTAAGGCTGAAGGCCTTTTGGCGCCCCAAGGAGGCCCTGTCATCCTCACTCAAGTATGAATTATTTTATTTAGTTTTAAATTTGAAAATTATTTAAATTATTGCGACTAATGGTTTTATATATTGTATTAAATTAGATTGAGAATGAGTATGGTAACATCGAAGGCCCTTATGGAGATGCTGGGAAAAGATACGTCCAATGGAGTGCAAAAATGGCTGAAGCTCTTAATGTTGGTGTACCCTGGATTATGTGCCAACAAGATGATGCTCCTCAACCAATGGTAAATCATAAAATAATAATTTTTCAGTTTTTGGTAAGTAAAATTAAAAACAATTTATAACCTGTTTTCTTAATTTTGTTTTAACAGATCAACACTTGCAATGGTTTCTATTGTCATGACTTTGAACCAAACAATAAGAACAGTCCTAAAATGTGGACAGAAAATTGGACTGGCTGGTGGGTTTTTCTTAGAAAAAAAGTTATTTATATTAAAACCACATTAATTTCTTCTACTAATACTGGCTATTTGTTATAGGTTTAAAAATTGGGATGCACCAGATCCTCACAGGCCTGCTGAAGATGTGGCTTACGCTGTTGCTCGATTTTTCCAAACTGGTGGAACACTTCAAAATTATTACATGGTTAATATTCCATGCCGATAAATATATATTCATTTTAATTAATTTTGTTATTTTTTGATAATTATGCTTTTTTTCCACCGAAACTTCAGTAT